TGGCCGCCCTCCGCGCCCGCAGCGAGGCCGTCGTGCGCGCCTGGTACGAGGGCCGCTTGCTGCGCTGCGCCGACGCCGTCGCTGATGCCGAGGCCCGCGCCAACCGAGTCGAGGCCGCCCTGCGCCGCGAGGAGGGGCGGAGGGCCAAGGCTGCGGCGGCGTGAGGGGTGGACCGTGTTGGAGATGACGTGATGCCCCCGCCGTTGTGGCCTCGGGCGCCTTCATGCCTAGTACCCAATTAAAGGAAAAGGCAGCTATCCGGCTGCTACGAACCAGCAAGCATGTCGAGACGGCTACCTCTCGACTCTCCGTCTGTGTCCATCCAAAACCACACGCGACGAGCACGGGCTATACCGTAATTACAGACACAGCCGCTTGAGTCGGTCGACCTGAAAAGGCGTTTACCGAGTTGTGCTCTACGCTTTGGCACTAGCTTTTCGAGTCTTTGTGGCCGCTCTGCAACACCCTTGACTATAAATTTATCTAGCATAATGTATTCAGCGCGGAGTTTGGATCTCAGATAGACGCAAGCCACCGTTTTTCGGTCTTGCCTTGGAGCCTTTGTCAATTATAGGGTCCTCTCCTGGGGCTCCCCCTCGGGGCGATTTCCTCAGCCTTCCCGTCTATGCTTTCAATGGAACTTCTGGGCGGGCTGTCCCGCCGCACTAACAATTTGATCTCTCCCAACTCTCCCAAGCCGCTCACGGAACCGACCCCAAATTCGCTTCCTCGCGACGACATATGGCCCCATTCTTGGCAATTGACCGGCCTTTCCGATATGACTATTCCTTTTCGATTGGCTCCTCAAGTCACACCAGGAGGACTCGCCAAATTCAAGTGCCATAACGCGAAATTCCCATTCGCTCCCGACGCCCTTGGCATCAGCCCCCGAGGACTCTGCATACATCTGGCGGTGCTGATTGCAGCCTGACCTCTGGATAATTTCGCGGCAAAGCCAGGCCACAGATACGACATAACACTGCGACCCAGCCCCTATTCGCTCTTATCAATGAGTTGTATGGGGTCCCGGTCCCCGACCTATTTTTCACGTATCAAGACCACAGGCCTCTTGTCTCGACTGCCCGCGTCTTTCTCGCCGACCTGTCTCTTCTTCGCCGCATCTTTAAGCTCTACAAAACACACTGTCGCAGCTTCGGCAACCCGGACAGCACTGTTCCAAGTGGATATACAAGTTTTCATGATGCTTAAATCTATCTTCCATGTTCTGCGTCGGCAGGAGAGTCTCAAACCCGATTCTCCCATTCCCGCCAGATGTTTCCAGTTCTGCAGTCAGTACGAGTCTTTGACGCTCCACACTATCGGTCAGAGGATCGATGTGTCGTAGCATTTACAACCGACACAAAAAGAGGGGAGTGAAGAATGACAGGAAAAAGAAAAGAGTCTCGCTAATCCATAGACATTTCGACGAGCATGCAGATAATGCGTTTCGGGAAGCACAGATGCAGAGCAAAAACCCCCAACTCTGCGCTGATGATAGCGCCTTCGCCAGTTCTCTCGACAGCTGTCTGGGCTGCCTCGATAGTCAGGCTAACGGGACCGCGAACTTCCCTCGAGAATCGCTCACTCAAGAATTTGTCGAATATATGGATTACTGCGGCTATCCGGTGTTATCAACACTGGTGTATACAAGCGCCAATGGCAAAGTTATGACCGAGGTAGTCATAGGTAATCGGCCCCGCAACTCAACTACACATGCTTCTACCACCACGAGCAGCAGTACCCGTACCACCCACAGTGGCACTACTAGCATGACTTCATCAACTAGCTCAACGTCGTCTAGTTTGCCGACGGGTACACCGGGTTCGCGAGATACAGCGGTTTCTGATGGTAATCGTAATCCGGAAACACATATTCCTGTTGACGATACGCTTTTGTGTCTAACTGACTTGTGCTTGGTCCATCAGTCAGGACCGACACTCAAGCCAAGACGATCGGGATCGCTGTCGGCGTCACCGCGGCGGCAACGCTCCTTATTGTGGTAGCTGCGGCAACCGTATTCATCAAGACTCGGTCCCGGAAGAGGAAGGAGACCGGCAAGGACACCGAGGCCGACAACAACAGCTTGGACAAGCCCATGCTGCATTCGGATCATATTCCACGACCGAACCCGCATGAAGTGGAGGGCTCGCCCGCGGCAGGCGAGCTCGGGGACTTCGTACCATATTGGCCGGCCGAACTGCCTGCAAGGGAAGTGGCTGCGCACGAAATGCCCGACGAAACCCCGCGGCAGAAGTGATGCGACGCTTAGTACGTATGCCAGCTATACAGTGGGCGGCATGGACTTGTCAAATTCTCTGGCTCGGCCGCCATGTGTTGGACGCTACCCTACAGAGCCAAAAGAATGGACACGGAAACACGGCCACAGCGACCTTGGTACTGGACATAAAGCCTACGGCCTGAGCGAGGCCTTGACCTTGATCCCCCCACTCGCCATCAAGAGGTGCGGCCGAAGCGCCCACCCGCCGTCCGGCCCGCCCTGCGGCTCAAGGTCGTAGCGCGAGAACAGCATGGCCGTGAGCTTGTACAGGGCCACGGTGGCCAGCTGCCGCCCGAGGCAGGCCCTGCTGCCGCCGCCCCACGCGAACGAGGCGACCTCCTCCATCCTGCGCCGCCGGCGCTCGCTCCCCGCCCCGTCGGCGTCGTCGTCGTCGTCATGGGCGCGCAGCAGCCAGCGCTCGGGGCGGAAGTCGTCGGCGTCCGGCCCGTAGACGGCACGGTCGCGCAGCACCACGGCCGGGTTGAGCCCGACCGTCGTGCCGGCGGGGATGTGGCGGCCGTCCGGGAGGGTCAGGCCTTGCTCCGGGACTGGGGGGGGGGGGGCGCTGACAGGAGCGCAATATTTCCTGTCACGATGCCTTGGAGCTGACAACTTGAACGCAAGTGGGTGTGGAAACGCGGCTGTAGAAAACCCTTATTGGTGGCTTAGGATATGGCGGTATAGAAATATGCGGGCGCCGTATAGGCACGTCAGTCTGGCTGGTCGACATGAAGACAACAAGATATCCAGCTGAACTTGCCAACACGGGCGGGTTAGTCAGCACTAGCCGAGTCCATCCCGTTTTGCGTGGGGGTGGATTTGCTGGTGGTGATGCGATTTATTCGTTTGAAGCCCAGCCCAGGACACTGCCATCACGAAGTAAGCCGAGCTCTTTGCCTTGACTCAACAACCACTTTCCTTCCCATCACGGGATGTGCCACGCCAACGCGGCGTGTTGGTTCTCGGGACGTGAAACTCGCCGCGGTTGAACTTGCGAACCCAGACTACCCAAGTTGGGTTAGCGGAAACGAACAAAACCCCCGCCTTCGTCGTTTCTTCGCAGCCAAGTAGGGGTCCGTCAAGAAGTTCCACAACGGGCGTAGCGGATTGTGGATCTCGACCGTTTGCGATCCGCGACCAGGGGGTATTTTTGGCAGCGGTAGGGCTGTGCTGTGCTCTTCTTTTCTGTGCTACCTATCGTCTAGCGCCTATTTTGGTCGGCTTTCTCTCACGCGCTAAACGCCCAAGAGCCCCTGACCCCTGTGTGATGGAGAAAGCCCACCAAACGCCAACTCCACCAAAAGGGGATCAGGGGTAAGGGCTGCTGCAACCCCCAATCCTCGGGGTCCTCTCCCCTCCAGATCCATCCCTCTCTGTGCTCAAACAGACGCACGTCATCGCGATCGGCAAAGAGGCCGTCCAATGGCTGGCCGCGTCGGGGCTCTGCCGCCGGGCCATGTTTCATGTGGCAGGACGTTTTCTACAATCCAACGTGCGTTGGCTTCCGTCATGCTCGCTAGTCAGGCGCCAAAAACTCGGGTTGCTGACCTCGCAGTCCAATGGTCATCATGCCCCCCCCCCCCCCGATGGGGTTCTCTGCGCAGCGTTTAGTTCTTGGTAAAAGATGGGAAGAAAAAGGAATGTGAACTTGTTGTTCCAGCCTACCAGTCCAGCCCTCGTGAACATGGCCAAACAGGGCACGTCGCACGCGTCAGGCCCCATCCGCACTGGAGACGCGGCCTGCAGATGGCTCCGCACGCCGAGCACGACGGTGTCAGGGCAGGTAGCATCCGTCGCCCCAAGCCACCCGCGGAGGGCGACGCAGCGCTGCCTTAAGCCCGATGTTAGCTGCATGAGCTGATATCCGACTTCCGCACAAGCGCACCCAGTTAGCGTCTGCATGCTCCCATCCCATCTCGCAGGTCATGTTGGGCCTGCGTATAAGACCTCCGTGAGCGCCTGATCACGGCCCGCGCTCGAGATGTCCGTCCTGACGTACCACCATGCCCGTTCTTCTTGTCCATTAGCTTTTTCTTTTTCCTTTCTGTGTCTTTTCCGTTCATCGACGCTCTCTTAGTAGACGTCGCAGGAGGTTGGCATTACCGGCCGCTTCCTTTTTTTCTCCTTTTATTTTATTTTATTATATATGTGTGGATTTGATGAGATCATCAACACTATACCCGCTGGCGGCGTATGCCCTGGGCATACGACTAGCAACAGCAGCAGCAGTGCTCGGAGCACAAGCCATTATACCCCATGCGGCGGCGGCAGTAGACGAGGCAGCACTAGCACCAGCAGCAGCACCAGTAGCCTTTGTGCCCAAGGCCAAGACGGTCATCGACCTCGGCGTGGCAACCGACACCTTCCTGAACCGGGACTCGTGCGGCAGCGTGCGCATGGGCGGGCGCACGCTGTGGACGTGCCGCGACACGCAGTTCAACCGGCCCAACGGCCTGCCCGAGCTCAGAATCATCTCCAGCACGGCCAGCTGGAGCGACGACGGCGACCTCGTTGACGGCGCGGCCGACCCGGGCAGCTGCGCCGAGCTGCTGGCGAGCGGCGACGTCGCGGGCGCGGCCGAGATCCGGAACAAGCTGCTGCCGTCGTCGGGCCGCCTGCGCATGTACGGCAAGCAGTCCGGCAGCGCCTTCTTCCCGCTGCTCGACGGCCAGTGCAACTCCAACCAGGCCGGGCTCTGCCCCGACGGGTCGCGGTACACCATCTGGCCCGACAGCCCGCCCATGGCGGTCGGGTCTGCCGCGTACACGTGGATCCGCAAGTTCCGCGTCAACGGCGCGCTGCAGCCCTTCGTCGTCGACCCGGGCACGGCGCTGTACAAGGTCGAGCACAAGGAGGACGGCGGCGCCGACGCCGAGGCGCTGCCGTCGGCGTCGGTCGTCAAGGGCGACTTCTGGGCAGACCACGAGATATCGTACGGGGCGTACGGCAACGTGGTGCACGGCGGGTACGCCTACCTGTTTGCGCAGCTCAGCCCCAGCGGCGGCGCCGGGGCCGTGGCGCTGGCGCGGGTCAAGGCCGACGACGGGCCGGCGGCGGTCGAGGACAGGTCCCGGTACGAGTACTTTGTGGCAGGCAGCTGGACGGGCAACATGCCACGGCAGGCGGACGCGGCGCTGGTGGCGGTGCCCAACGCGTCGGCGGGCGGGCAGGGCACGTACTACTACTCGGAGGCGTGGGGGCGCTTCGTCTGGATCGGGCAGGCCGGCCTGCGCGTGACGGCCGAGTTCTTCGTCACCACCAGCCCGGCGCCCGAGGGGCCGTGGGAACAGCCCGTGCCCTTTTACACGGGTGCCGGCGGCAACTACTCGCTATCGGCTTATAGCCTGCAGGCCCACCCGGCGCTAGTTCCCAGGGGCTGCGACGGCCAGGCTATGGTCATCTCGTGGACCATCAACAACCTGATTGGTCGGGATAATGTGTACACGACGCCGCTGGCGCTCGTGGTATGGGATAAATAAAGCCGAAGGATCACATAAGGGCGGCGTTTTTGGTATGATAATTTAATGATATACGCAGAATGGAAAGCTTGAGTATATATGACCGCCACTCGACCAGTTATCGCACTGTCCAAACAACATTCATATGTACGACTACTCTTGCTTTTCCTGTCGTACATGACGCATCTTTACCCGTTCCTATACGCATATGCCGCTCCAACGCATGATTGGTGGCCCCTTGGAGCAGCATCTGCAGGCGCTCATTGGCCACTGCCAGCACGCAGAGAGTGCTGTGTGACCTCGTGACCTGCGGTTGGGAGAGACAAGTCAGCAACGCGAAGATGCCTGACGGTGTGGCCATAACCACACCGACAAATTTCCCGTTTCCCGTCGCAGAAGCCGATGCCCGCCCCTAGCTGCCGATATCGAGTCTGTCGAGCTGTCTCTGGTCCGCCTAGCTGCAGACGTCGGCATCCGGGCCACCCTTGCTTGGGGCTTACGGCATAGAAAACCGGTGCAGCCTCGCTCGACAGACGCCCCCTGGCGTGGGGGAGCTCCCTCCACACTCACCATGGACGATGAGATTGACCCCCACATCTTCTTTGGGCTCCAGAAGGAACACTATGCGGACAAGCTCAGCTACGTGCCCAAATCCGCTCTCATAGTGGAGGTTTCAAAGTCCAGGGTATGGGAGTCTGCTGTGATGCTGTGGCTACGCCCGTGCCGAGATAGTAGTTAATTAATGTGCGCCCTGTCTTTCTTGCCGGCTTAGACGGGTCCGCCTAGCGTTGTAGCCACCAAGATGAATCCCGACGAGCTGGAGGGATGGCTCAACAAGGTAAGTCGGTTCCTTCCAGTCCTGACTTGCATGTTTCTCGGTAAATGTATGCTTTATTAACGTAAAACAGCAAATAAAGTCTGACCGGGAGGGCACAACATCGCCAGGCCTCCGTTTGATGTAAGCCTTCTCTGTAAGCCTTCTCTGTGCTCTGCAAGCCAACCTCCTCTTACACCACCTAAAACGCCCTCCGCAGCCTCGGCAACGCCCGCGACCCAGAGCCCCCTGGCCCCTGGTCGATGCCGCCGCCGGCCGAAGGGGGAGACACGACCTGGCCCGGAGACTACCGCGTCATCACCAACACGTGGCCCATCCCCTTCTCCCGCAGCCACTTTGACGTCATGATCGACCGCTTCTCGCTCCCGCAGTCCACGCGCTGGTTGTGCAAGACGTCGACGCGGCACCTGCAAACCTACCGGATGCGCCCGTCGGCGCCCGGCTGCCCGAGCTACGGTATGCCCAACTCTTCCCACTTTTCTCGTGCCAGCAGCTCTTCCCAGCTGTTGACTGCCTTAACTGTACCTTTATCTGCCAGTTATCAAGTTGACAAAACAAAACAATAACGAAACCCTCCAGGCCTCACCTTCCGGGTCTTCCAGGCCCTGCACGTGGCGCTCTCGCTCTCGCACGACGGCGCCACGGGCGTGACGACGGCGCTCATGCTGGGCCAGTCGGGGCGGCAGTCCGAGTTCGTGCGGGCGCAGGTGGCGCGGCTGGCGCGGCTGGCGCACCACCCGGCGCTGCTGCCCGCGGTGCTGCTGGCCGCCATGCGCTCGTCGACGGGCGGCGTGGTCGAGGGCCACCGCAACAGATGCAC